AAAGCGAATTAATGATATATCAACTATGCTTAAATTGTAACAATGTTTTCACTCGTGAAGCAAACCCTTGCAGACAATCTTTGCTTGGTAAACGAATTACCTCTCCACTGTACACATGTATCTATACATAAACCCGCGTCAACAATCCCAAAATCGTTCGTCAATCTTCGAATCGTTCGTCAATCCTCGACAAATATATTTTAATTCAATTTTCTCAATAGCGTCAGCCTTCGTAACGATGTTTTTTTTTTTTACTACAAACTTAAAAAACGAATAGAAAGCATTGCCCGTATTTTTTTAAAGAATCGCTGCAAGAATCCTTGCAATCATCCTTTGAAATTGAATATAAATTCTGACGATTTGAGGGTTGACGCCTGGCCACTCCTTCTTACTCGATATCACAGCGGTGAGAATATTCTGACAGTTTAAGCATACATGTATATTTACTGTATATTTAAAGTAAGGTATCTTTTAACAAGCATAGATAAGATTTAGTCGATATAGACGATTCTCCCCATAGTTATAGATCAAAATACGTACCTTATTTTATAGAGACCGGTATCTGCAGACAACATGCAATTCAATCACGGCCCCTATCGATTCGGATGATACAGTTAGAAATTTTTTTATCATCAGCGCCGCGTTTCCCTACCTTGGATCGAATAAAAAAAGAGTTCGATCACGATCGACAAAACATATATCATCCCGAGTGCCTGTTTCGATCGAGAGGACTATCAGACCATTTGTTGATTTCTTACGATGTAAAAAAATAAAAATAAGGAGATGCACTATTGCGCATATCGAATAAATGTAAAATAAATACAAACTTGGTAGTTGATCGCCCCCCTTTTTCAAATCAAAAAAATCTCTATCAGATAAAACGTAATGAATATTAATCGACGAAGGCAAGAATCTTTGTAATATCGTTGCGTGTCAATTCTCTAAGAAGTCCGATACTCAAAAATTTACGGACTAGCTTGACTAAAACGACATTGCTCAATGAAAGAAACAAAATTTACACTTTGCAGATACCTGTATCTCACTACTTGTAAATTTTACTCGATTATCTTTTTGGGCTTGAGCGAAAGAAAGATAAGAAAAATGATAAAAAAATACATATATGTGAAGCCCGCTTTTCCTTTCTCGAAAGGAAGGGAAACACATCTCCTCTCAAACGTCTAAGGTGTTGCATCCTGTTCTGCAGATGTTCTTTTATATATCCGAATGTATCAAAGTGAACACGATAATCATGCCAAACCAAACTTTGAACTCTCCTCGATCACTCCATCCAATTTATCTCCGATAATATTCTATAGAACCTAATTACTTATTAACACTAAACTACTAAATGCTAAGCTCTACGAAATGAAATTTTAAAACTGTATCAAATGTTTATATGAAATAAATTATAATAATGCAACGGACGTTCTATTTTCACTGTGTGGCGAAGGGAAACAGCACGAAAGTAAATCAGAAAGAACCGAAAGTTCGAGTGTAGGTAAAAATATTTGACTCTGTCTTGTTTAAGTATGCTTCGTCTTTTTCTTTCTTTTATTTTTCCTTTTTTTTTTGTTTTATTTATTTCAATTAAAAATGACTTGTTACACTTATCATAGCAGTATGTATGTAAGGCTCTTACATACAATACATTGAAATCATCGGTTTTAACGTATGTCGAATGTATATTAATACATGTAACTGAACCAACAGATAAATCTGTATATATATGCGTGTACGTGTTAATGATGCATTGCGGTATCTAGAATTGTAACAGTTTGTTTTTACACTGATTCGCCTTGACGAAATGTCACTCGAGACACAAAAAGATAGGCTCGCGATCTTCTATAAGGAAACAACGGAAACTAAATAGTCATGATTTCTAAAATCATACCGATTCTCGAATACATTCGTTTGCACCAGTTGATTAGTTGCATTTTACTGGTGATTGGTACTATCACGACGCAGTGAAGCTTGTACGAGAGAAATAATGATTCGTTATTTATTTGTGAGACATAATCGACGTCCGGCATAGCTCAGACAGGAAGTTCATGCTAGTCTACACGATCGATTCGAAATGCAGTCTAATATTTGTCTGTATAAAATGGATATATCGTTACAAAATAAAGGTATCGGAATCGAATGAATGGAAAAAAAAGTTCGCTGACGTACATGTGTCTGATCATTTTTCAGGATAAAGCGGACCACTCAGGAGTAGATCGAATAAAGAAAAAAGAAAAAAATCAATTGTGTTTATGCAGAAGTAACGTTATAATTAGAAATCTGACTTGTAAATTGAAATAGTTACAAACTGTGTTCGGATACACTATATAGTTAAAAATATATCATTCGAATGAATCTAATTAAATTGGAAGAATGACCTAATCGATATCCGACATCACTAACGCGCGCGCAAGTATGTAGTAGGAAATTTCAAAACGGGCAATTACAATGAAAATCTTCACTTTCGATAGTATTTTTTGTGATCTATGGACAACGGAAGTTGTTTTTCTTTTTTGTATCATTCTCTTCCCGTTTTGTCTTTATTTCTCCTTCTTTTTTTTTTTTTTTTTTTATTTAATTTCGTGCGAATATCTCGGCAAGTTATTTAATTATGAATATGTATATACAACCTTGGCTAGAAGTTTGGTCAGGTTCAATTCCTGTACCGATGCGACGACGATTTCTTACCGTCCCGATGATTCGACTGTCTTGATCTCGATCGTGATTTTCTATGATCCCTAGATCTAGATCGTGTCCTTCTCTTGCTCCTGGAAACGTAAGATTGCGAACGTTTTCGCTCCTTCGAACGTGTTCGAGATCTGTCTCTGGCCCTAGATCGGGATCGCGATCTTCGTTTGTCTCTGGCGCGAGATTTACTGCGTCTCGTGGAATACGACCGACTTCTTCTTCTGCCTCTTGAATGGGAGCGCGATTTCCTTTTTCCCCTGGAACGCGATCGTGACCATTTCCTGGTGGCCGAGCTGGATCTAGATCTACGACAGCTCCTCGAGCGAGATCTACGGCGTTTGCGATTTCTCGATCTCGATCTGTGCTTCTTGCTGGACCTATAATTGCTCGACGACCTTGAACGATATTCTTTACGAGACTTTATCGATCTAGATCTGGACTTGCGTTTGTGGCCACGCTCGGAAGAACGAGATCGAGATTTTCTGCCTCTCGATTTGCTTCTACTCTTCGACTTCCTCTTTCGATATTCACGATCGCGAGCCTTGCTCGATCGTTTCTTCTTTAACGAGTTACGGCTCGAGTCAGAGCTCGTAGACTCAGAACTGCTAGATTCGGAATCGGCTGAGCCTGATGGAGTATTGGTCTTTGCCATATCAGGCGGCAATATTTGTTGCTGTGGACTTTGTCCGCCGCTCGACAAAGTTTCAGACGCTTCTCTTTGATTATTTATCGTTTCTTTTTCATCAACTAAAGTAGTGATGTTACGGAGTTACGCTTAATGACGTAATGACAACATAGTTTTATTATATTTCGAAACATACCTGACTCTTTGCAGCTTGTATTACCAGTATGATTTTCCTGTTGTTTATTATACTGCTCCTCGTAACGTTGCTCCTCTCTCTCATCCTCCTCCGCTAGACGCGCCTCGATTTCCTCCTCCGTCTTTTTGAACGCTTGTTGCCGCCGTTTCACCGTTTCCTTTAACAGTATCGAACGATTATTTACATGCTTCATTTCCATCTTCCATATACGAACATAAATACGTACTATGAGCTCCTCATCGCTATCATTGTTTTGAGCCTGGACGTGTTCGTTCTGCTCCTCCTCAGACTCGCTGTTGCTGTCGCCATAGATGCCCAGACCTATATGAAACGAGATGTTTATTATCTTTGTTCGATTATTCTGTCGTGCGTTTTTGTCAAAATAAAGACATACGCTCGACCACTAAATATGCTGCTGCTACGATTGAAAAATGTCCTGAAAGACATCGTCAGTTTCACGAGAACTTATAAGCGAGCATAGCTACAGAGAGTGTGTGT